CTCCTCCCTTCAATTCTTAGAAATTTTCCCTATAATAGGCTTAGTATCCTAAATTATAAGTAATTCATTCGATAGCTAGAAAGCAAAAGAATAGAATATTAGTATCTATCTGTCAGCTAATATTTAGTAGCTAAATATATCCTTAGCTTTTAGATAGTTAAGGATTCTTATACTATATAAGAATTAATATAAGAATCGTATATTAAATATAGGATCTAGCTGACAGCCTTAGGCGGCTTAGTCTAATGATAGAGGCAAAATAGATGTTGACAATATGGTATATACTTTAGCTAGAGTAGCTACCGCCAATATAGTAGGACTTATGTTTTCATCCTTATATCTTATTCTGATAAAGATGCTTTTCTGATATCTCCTCCGCTTAAATAGATATAGTAGTCGCTCTCTAATGTCTACTATCTAGTGGTTCTTATAGATATCTATTCTCTATCTTTAGGTCCCTTATAATAGGTATTACTATCCTTTTATATCATTATCTTCTGATTATAAACGTTGGTATCTACTTGTTTTATATTCTTAAAACCCTCTTTATTAAGACTTTAGCTTAAATTTTAATAAAAAGTATAAGATGAAAGATTATAGGATTTAGGATTAGGATTTGCTATAGGGATGATCTTCTTAATATTATGAAAAAAGATATGATAGGTATTTTAGCAAGTTGCTCTAGAGAGTGAGTATATCTTTAGAGTAGGATATAGCTTGATTTAGCTAAATTATAATCAATAGCTTCCTTATTAGTATAAAATTGCTAGGATTATACTATAACTGGTTTTAGAAGGCTTTAAAGATAAGCCTAACGTACTATAAACTTTATAAGGATGCTAGAATAAGCCTAATATTAATTTCCTTTTATCTTAAAGCTTAATATACTTACTATAAGATCTTACTATACTATATAGCCTTATAAAAAGTCTATATAGAGAAGTGTAAAGTAGGGCTTTGTTCTATGTAGGAAAGTAGGCTTTATTCTGTATAAGAAAGTAGGCTTTGTTTTATATAGAAAAGCGGATGATTATTATATATACTGTTATTATTTATAGGTTTATATAGAGGATATATAAGACAATATACTATAGGGTTGGCTATAAGCATCTATATAAGTAAGGATATAACTAAATCTTCTAATAAGGATAGATAGTTATATTAGAGAATCAAGATATACTTTTATAAAATATATTACTAAAGTATACTTTTCAATAGTCTTAAAAAATACATCTAATTATTATAAAGCTTAGCAAGCTTATCCTATATAGAATAGCCTAAACTAATAGCTATCAGACACTAACAAACTAACATTATCAAGATAGCGTTGATAGAAGATGAAGGGTTTAGATCTATTATAACTTTGTATAGGTAGGTTATTAAAGATATAATAGAAAATATTATGTTAAACGGTTAAAGTGTATATAACCATAGTTGTACTATCCAGAATTGATAAGGAGAAGCGATGGTATAGATATGCTCTTGACTTAGTTATAGTATCTAGTGGCTAGTGCCTTTATTCCTGCTTTTATATTGATTTTAGTCTTTTCGATTATACTTAGTTCTAACCACTTTACTTTAATAGGTTATATTTAATAGTAGCTTTATTAATTAAAAAAAAACCTAAGATTATATACTATTTGTTTTTAGGTTTATAAGAGTAAGAATATATATATATAAAGTAGCCTTAACATACTTTAGCTGAAAGTAATATTAACCTTATTTCAATCTTTTTATCTAGAAAGCTAAGAGATAGTATGTTAAAGGTATTAGAAAAGAAAGGATTATCTTTCTTTGTTAAGTTTATTTACTTACTATATCTTTTATTACCAACTCTGTAGAGAAATCTCTAAAGAATAGAATATAGTTAGATAAAGTAAGTATAAAAAAACAATAAAAAGAATATAGACTAAATTAAAAAGCTTTTAAAGTTTACTATAGATATCAATAAGATAAAGCTAACTTATAGGAAGCCATCAGCCTTTGAAAAAACAGCCTCCCTCTAAGATACTAAATCCTAAAGAGACGCCTTCTTAGGATATATCAAAGATATAGGATCCAGTCCTTAAGACTTTAAAAAGCGAGAGTCTAGCCTCTAGTGCCAAGGTTGCAGGTAACACTATGCATACTTCTGATGGCTCGAGCAACCGAGAAGTTTGGAAACATCAGGCGATCTATATGGCTAAGGATGCAGATAAACGTGACGGCAGGCGAGAGAACACTATATCTCATTAACTAGAGCTATGAATGGCTGGAATTAATGTATTCCTAACTCAACACGAGCAGGACAGTTTATGCATATGCTTCCGCTTGTGATATCCTTCAGAAGCCTGCCCCTTATTGGATACGTAGATGCGTAGATAAAGTGAGCTATGTCGACCCATCATGCAAGCCTAGTGGCCGTAGCCAGGCCAGCCGTGCAGGGGCAATGCAAATCTCGAATGGCCGGGGAGACCTTATGCACCTCGTACAGTAACTTACCTCATCCGTGAGAGACAGGTAGGAATAAGGTAGTCAGACCAATCCCTACTGCTGAGGCTGCATGAATAGTGTCCACTCTAGCTACAGAAAAAAGCAAAGCCACTTCCGATGTCGAGATAGGACCGTCTATTGTGCCCTTATCCGTTCAAAATGACTCGTGATTTGTGGTCTAGGTTGCAACTGGGATCCTGATCGACATGCTTCACACCTAAAACCTGCTCCATCGCCCCCTCTGAAGGATAAGGAGTCAAAGATTGCAGTTGGGCGATCAGAGTTACAGCTACCAATCCATCAGGAATCACAGCCGGCCTGTACATCTTGAGACGGCAATATGTCCAAAAACTGTATCCATTGGTTCAAGATATCAAGTATGATAATACACTGATCTAGTGGACTTGCAATCTGTGTCTTTCTGGTCCGCACTGGTAGTTAGCTGACATATCAAGGGGTGATATTCGGATCATTTGACTTAAATGGAGGGATCAAACCACTTCGGGATAAACATATATGGTAGGAACATACGTCTCCAGAAACATTGGAGCAATATGAGCTAGGGTTCATCAACTGTAGAGCAAATGCAACGGCCCCTAGCCCCCCAACATATAGACAAGGTGTAGTTATACCTGGAGGTGACAGCTTGCTTATATAATGGCTTAAAAGAGTTCAGGCAGAAGACATCTTCAATACTAGAAGCTGTTGACCGTACCTATAGGTATGAGAGCAAGAGGCAGGCTATCCATGCTATATTCCAGCCCATGATAGCCAAAACGTCCGATACTTTTCACGCTAGCGCCATGGCTCTCCTATCTTCTCCATCGATGCCACCCCCTGAAGGACTCAGCAGCAGCGAAGGTTCCCCTCAGCCAATGACACTTGTGCCTAGGAGCCCATTTGACTCGGATGACATAGATGTTGAGACACCCTCCAGATATATTCGTGTATCTTCGCCTGCTCATAATACACGTATGCAAACATGTCCGGTGGGTGCCTCTCTCATCCTGTTCTCTCCCATTACTAATCAGGACCTTGCGCAGCGACAAACACAACCAAACAGTCCAGCTTCTGCAGCTCTGCGAAGCCATGAACAAGATGAACCCTGTCCTGCCTACGCGGAGTTGCGTACCGATCAGGAGCTATCACGATCGACCGATCCACTTAGGACTTATGTTCGACCTAAACAGTGCACGGGTTGTGGTGAACTGTTCCCCGGAGTTGAGATCACGTTCCCTCTGCGTGATACAGGTTCATTTAATCAATGTCTATTTTGTACCACACTGAACTCGGAGGGTGCACACCGACGGGATATCCGGGAATCTGTCTTTAATACTGTCAAAAATCCTCCGAACCACCCCACAATGGAGAGTGGTACGAAGGAACCATTTCGCCGTCCTTTGGAAGACTCAGATGTCGAGAATGCCTTTATCCAGATTGTACCTTTACTAGATCGAGGTCTGAGGTTACACGTCACCGGCGTATAGCCCACCGAAGGCCCGGTGAATCTTCCTCCGTCAAGGCACCACAAAAGAAGTGTCCCTATCGGAACTGTGAATATTCTTGTTCTCGATCTAATATGGCGTGGTATACATGGAAGCTTCACCGGGGTGGGGGATGAACCAGATGAATACAAATAATATAGATCAACTCACCTGCGCCAGAAATCCGTGATTCCCGAAGCAATAGAGCGAACTATCCGTATGTCTGTGGGAGGGATCAACTGACTGTTAAAATGTGATCTTTCGTGGCGAAACTGCTTCCGTGCATGTCGAAATGACGGAATCCCAAGTCATATGAAGTGCTGCCGTAGGTACTACCGAGTTTTCTGAGTACACGCAGGCAGAAGTCTCTATTGAAACAAGCTGGTTGGTTCCTCTCAACCTTTTGCCCAGAGAAAAAGAGCAAGAGACAACACATGATCGTAGGTCACGATCTACTTCTCACAGATGTGAGAGGCATACTGTCACAGACATGCTAGTTGTGGCTAAGGTACAGATAATCGGACAAGTCAAAATGAGATCCCGTGATACAATACAATACAATACAATAGATGCATAAGCGCCGTAGGCCTCTCGCATGTGGCCAATCACAACGCAAGCCCAGCGTACCGTTGTCGTCAGTGTGGCCTTCCGAGGACCAACAGCAAGTTTTCGTCTTGACACCCAACATAATAAGATCGTCCTCTCTCGCAACATGCGAGGACTTTGTGTCCCGCAACATTCCATGCATAAGCTGCTGCGGCCCCCGTTGTCACGAATCAAGTTCGCAGCCGTCCCTTCCCTTCGTAAGCCTCGTTTCACGCAAGGCATTCTCTCAGCAGCCAACATCCCGAACCACCCAACAAAATGCGATGTTTTTGCTTGGCGTAGGTTACTCGGCAAATCAAGAGTAGTTATTAGGCTTCCAGGTGTGGCACAGTACGGCCACGCCTTTCTATTTATCTTCGCTCTCCTGCCTTTTTCCTTCATAAACTCTCTGATATCATCCCAAAAGCCATACGAACGCGACAAGAAAACCACAAGAAAATGGTCTCTGAGCTTGTCGCCGAAATCTCCCGCTCGGAGCTGACGGCCTCCTCGGGCCTCGATGCTACGATCACAAGCGTTCAACATGTGGCCTCGTACAACTGGCTCGACAAGAACGAACCTACCATCTCGGTTCCAGGTAAGGTTGTCTCCCATGACAATATTCTAAGACAGCCTAACTGTCATCCAAGGTTCTCCGCCCCTATGGTCTCCCCCTTCGGTAGCCATGAAGCTGACACCCGACTCCGGGCTGGTGTACATCGACCAAAATGCAGCCCGCAACCCTTCCTCTCCCCTCGAGCCCCTGTTTCGCGCCTTGTGCACCCAGGATACCAACTTCGACATCGGCGTCGTCGACCTCGTCACGGACCGGAACAACATTCGCAAGCTTCTGCGCTTTGTCCGGGGCTCATCCAATGACGCCTTCGAGATCCGGGTGGAGATCGCCGGCGACAAGACAGCGCTGTTCACGCGGGTCGAACCAAAGACGAAAGAGATTATCCAGGGTTTCAAGGTATATGGCCACAGGTTTGAAGATGCCTATACGAAGAGAAGCTCTGGAAGTACCGGTCATCACAGGGTTGTAGGCTATCGCTTCGGCGGCATGATGTGCCTCGTGAGGCACGAAACCGACGGCTACGTCGACGATAAAGCTGGACCTGCTGCTGCTGTGGAGCAGCCAGACACGACCGACTACTTGTCGGACGTTCTGGGAGCGCTCTCCATTGCAACCAAAGAGAAGAACACCGGCGGTACCCCATCGCTGACGGTGGTGAACACCGGCGAGGAGGTGGTAGATCTGTCTTCGACCCTCGAGATCAAAACTCGCGCAGCCAGCAAGACATTGGACCTGTCCGAGGTCTCCCCTCAGCTCTGGATCTCGCAGACTCCTACTCTGGTTGTCGGCTACCATCGGAATGGGGTCTTCAACGATGTCCGGGTTCGAAACATGAAGCAGGAGATTCGCACCTGGGAAGCCACCAACCAGACGTCTCTTGTCAAACTAGCCTTTCTGATCAAGAGAATCATTTCGGTGGTGGAGGGATGCGGTAACCGCAATGCGATTGTGACGTACGACGGCGGAACGAAGTTGAGGATTGTCCGTGGCGAGCAGAAGCGGGCTCTGCCTGATGACCTCTATTCTATCTGGGAGAGCCAGGATCAGAAAGAGGCTAAGCTGTCTCCAGCGCAGGACAAGAATCGTGTGAACGAGCCCACGGGTGTTCAGCATCACCCAAAGAAAAGCGCAGCCTTGATCCGAGCCCAAACCAATATGCCCTTTTCCGACGTCATCGACTACGCAATGCAGAACGGGTTTCGACACATCTTTCGTCGCATGCCGGCCCGACTCGCTGACTACCACACTCTTTGCGATACCCTCAAGCTTCGCGGTATCGATGTCCTCGCCGGACGCGGCATTCCCGGAATCATGAACGAGCTGAGACAAGGCAAATCCGACTGGGATCCAGATGAGAGAAGAGAAATCAGCGGACTGAAAAGTCTGGCACGAGACTCGGCTTTTGGGCTTGTCTTCATCTTCATCCTGGGTGAGCCTCAGTCCGAGCTCCAGGATAAGAACAAAGCCTACAATGCGACGATGTTTGTCGTCTCCCATCCCCGCATGTTTAGAGACAGGACCAGGAAGATTGTCCGCGAGGCATTTGAGGAGCGGTTTGGGGTTTCGTACAAGCAGCGGCAGGCTCTGGATAAGTGGCCCATCCGAGACGAGAATGTGCTGGTGGAGGAGGAGGCTACGACTGAGGAGGAACGCTTCGATTTTGATTCTGACTGGTCCTACTCCAGCTAGGATAAAGGTCGAACCGGTAAGCTGGGCCTCTGTTCGTTGAACAGAGTCTATGCAAAGTCGCTTAGACTTCATTCTTGAAACAAAGCTGTACACCTCCATCAGTATGGTAAGGGTTATTCGCCCAAGGGCAAAGATACTTTTTGAATTTCATTTGTTCCTTGTTATGCTGTTCATCTCTACGGCTCTAATCACCGTAGGAAATGAACAAAACTCTTATTGTGAAATGAGTATTCCTTGATAGTTACCGTTTGTTGCCCCGGTAGATGCGTATTTGCGAAATGACGTTAACCAGCTCAGTGTGGGGTATATCTAGGGAAGCAAGGATGTCATTTTTGATGACATACATAATAACTATCATTAGAAACAGCGCCGCCCTATAGGAAGCCCGTCACCTACACCATCGGATCGAAAAGGCCTATTATGCTTCTGGAGGCATGGCTTTGGCCAAGCAAAGTCTACACACCATAAGTATGCTGTCAACAGTAGCCTTATGAAACTACATACTTTCTATACTATGAATGTTATAATCTACCTATGAGAGAAAGGGTAATATAGTAATTTGACTTTAGGATAGTAGGAAATCAAAAGACGCTCTATCTTATATTCCTTATTCGACTATGACTATAGAGATGCTGGCTGCACCGATAATATATAAGTATTAAGCTATTATAGATATAAATCATTATTATCTATCGTACCTACTCTAGGAACTGGCTCCTTATCATAATAAAGTCTCTCAAATAAGCTTTATTTACAACTGTTTTATTATACTCTATTATAGATTAAGCTATAAAAACGGCATTTTGTATCTATTGTATATTAGATTATACTTTTCAATAGAAGTAATTTCCTTACCTTTCTTCTATTTAAGTTATTTTCTACGACATTATTAATTATACTCTTACGATAAGTATAACTTTCTTTAATAGTCTTAACTTACTTTAAAAAAAAATGTCATATAACTATATAAGTATCTAGCTCTAGCGATAAGTATTTTAACGAAAGGTATATATAGCTTATGATTATAGAATCAAATGAGTTTACTTAGTTAATAGTAAGAAATAAAACACTTATATAGTATTCTAGCTTATATAAGAAGATAGATATAAAAGTATTCTGATTCGGCTTGTTCATACGCTTAGCTAAGAAGACGTCTACTTTATCAAAAAGCAAAACCGCTTTCTAGCAGCTTATAAGCTTGAAGATTATCTTTAGGAATTTCTCGACCTTTATATAGTCTATACCGATCTGACCTATTGTAACCTAATATTAGGTAAGTATTGATCGTCCTTACAGCTGGGATATCTACGGTGTATAGGGAGACTCTGTACGTTTCCGTCAATGTTTCGGCTGTCAACGTTTTGCTAACTCTAGATGGTCCACTATTCTTCGCATAAGGAATCAACTTAATAGGTATATATGATGGGATTACTTACTAGAGCAAGAAATTGACACTAAGCTCCTTACCCTAAACAAGGTCTTTGAACCCATCTTCTAGCGAATGCTTTAGGTATATTTCTATGAGAGCTAAGATCGTCTTTTTCATCATATCCAGAATCTTAACGTCATCAAACGAAGCTAGGCTCTATTCAATGTCAGAGATATTGACGATAGCAAATTCGACTTTAAGCCGTTAGCAAAGAAATCGCTATACGATTCAGAGTAACATATAGAACGCTTTGTTTTCAAGACAAAAGCCCAGCATCGTAGGACTATAGATGAGGAAATAATCCTCTTTAAGCTGGCTTAGATCGATATCGACAAGCTTGATCAAATCATACTAGCCAAGCGTATGGTACCTCGGCCGTACTTTCTGTACTTATAGGCAAGGGTAATTAGGTTTACTCTCTTGAAAAGAGACTATATCTATAATGATTCTGTCCTCAATATAACAAGCAATTATCTCTCCCTTATCGTCAATATCGAACGTCCTCCTATGATAATACTGATAATATACCTTCATTAAGGAGACGAACCTACGGCCATATCCAACGAGCTGGTTCCTTATCTCATCTGCCTTAGCATGGTATTATAAAGGATACGCCTAAAGATGTTCGATTCGGCTTACTCCACGGAAATATAGGATCTTAGTACTGGTGGTAACCTCTTCTAGAATATTTCTATCTGAGGCTAGATAACGAGTATGGAGATTTACAAATTTTGAGCCGCTTATATCTTCTTTCTCTTGACAATAGTTATATAAAAGGCATCTTGGCATACTAGTTCCTAGATAGGTAGAGAATATCTTGACATTTGGTTTGAAGAGTGTCTAGATTAGGTCATAAGTGATCTTCTTCCTTTTAAGAAGAATAGATAAGCGTTTGTCGGTCGATTGAAATGCATTTTCGATATAGTTTATGAAGAGGCTTAAATGCTTTCTGATGCTATCATCGGGATTGGGTATGATGTGAGCTAGGGTTGACTTAAGATTGTTATGGATATGGAAGACAACATTTTGCTTGATCTACAAAGATTAGAAGTTGGAAACTTTGAAATTATAAAAGAGTTATACCGAAGGGGCGCTATCCGCCAGTAAGATACTACGAATATCCTGGCAGACTTCCCTTAGGATATCCTATAAAATTGGTGACTTGATATTGATGAAGGTTATAATTTTGAAGGATACCTTATCTGATATCTTGTTAGTATTTTAAATGGAGAGTGTCTATTTGCGCTGTGCCAAATATCTATTTGCGCTATGTTTTATAAGTGGGTCCCACCAAAGCATCAATATACTTATATATCTTCAACTCTAATTAAGTCTAGCTTTATATAATGAAATTTTTTTGAAAAAATTATCATTATAATCTCTATCTAAAAAGCTATCGATTAGTGTTAATATCACTAAATTCTGATATAAAATAGTAGTAATATAGCAAAAGTAAAAAATCCTAGTATATTTCAAGCTTTATAAAAGTATTTAGAATCATATCTTAGCTAATTTTCATCTAATTCTTATGATTTTAATATTAGTTAATAGCTTATAAGATAATAAATTTAATAATATTTTTTTCAAAAATTTATCACTCTATTCTAGCCTTAAGTTATAGACTTTTCCAACATTAGTGAGAAAAGTAGTCATATGACTAGAAAAGGTATAGCCAATCAAATCATTCAAAAAAAATTAAGGTGGAAACACTAGCAAGTTAGCGTTGCGCTAACCCTCCCGTCAGCCAATCATATTGCTTTAAAATAAACGTATAGCACAAATAGACCTTTGGCATAGCGTAAATAGACACTCTCTTTAAATGACTTTCTCGAAAGAGACTAACCCATCCTATTTCGAACGATAAACATATATTGATCAAGTTTATCGGAAATAGATGTTGTCGATTCATAAATCGTATACCTACCCGCCTTACCGTCCTAACTAGCAGACTGTCAGCTATATTACTTTCCTAAGACATTGACTTACACTCTATCCACCCATTTGTATTCTAGCTTAGAGGCTCTTACGACCTGATTACCTACTGTAGGCGAGACATTCTTAGCCTTAGGGGCATCTTGAGCTTCAGGGTCCGATGCAATAAGCTTGACTGTGGCGATAAATCGCTCTGCCAGCTTCAGTAATGTAGGTTCTACATTGGAAATAGCGACTCCTGTAGGGGTTTCAATGATAGCAAGCTGACCTTCTTCGGCCGGGCTACTGGGCGGCGTTGGCCTAAGGGGAAGGGAGGGGGAGGGGGAGGGTTGAACCATACAATGAGTCTTTGCTGAATGTATGATTATAATGAAAGAGTTCAGAATCCTAGATATTAGGTAATATTGTACTGAAGTATAAAGGTGAAAAGCTGGATGCGATAGAGAGGCAGACCTATCGAAAAGTCTATAGCTTTTAAAGGCAGATCGAGGCTTCCTAGACAAGAAGGGAGCTTTATATAGACAATCGAAGCGTTGTCTATACCTTGGATAGCGAATAGGGTTAGGAAGATCTCTATACCTTGGTAGAACATTAATGCTCGACATACCCTTGGAACAACACCCCTATGTCTCTCTGGAGAAATCAAATAGAATTGATATACAGCCATTTCCTATCTCTACAGCCATAATCTGTGCTCAGCGAGGTGGAGATTGGTATGAAGAACTAAAATTTGCCGTAAAGCGAGCGATCTATTCTAGGACCGTATGTAGAGGCTAATGTATCTCCTATAAGCTATATTATACTTATAATCCTTACTTAAATAAGACTTGATAAGCATTAGCTTATATAAGGTATGAGTTATTAGTCTATAAGCCCTCTTTCCAATAGTTGTACTCACTAATCAGACGCCTTCATATACTATGCCCTATTAGCAAGGGATGCTATTATTCTTAAAGCCCTCTAATCATCCTCCTCCTCTTCCCCTGTTTCCATCATCTCATACACTCAGTCAAGAGAGCGGCTCAAATATGACAGCTTCAAAGGGACTTCCTACCGCCTGGATGTCATTACCCTCGAAAGGTCATCACATCATTGAGTGCCATTTTCTACCTATAACTAGAAGCATGAATCAAATCACCATATATAGGGAAGATCTAGGGTTGACATATGCCACCTACTATGACTTTTTATGCTAAACAGTATCTCTAGCTTAATCAAGGGGAAGCTTTGGACATAGCAGCAACTTTAAATCTCATGGATTCTATGGAACTATTCTAAGAATAAAATAAAATGATACTTCATTTGCTATCCTTGACATCTTCTTCACCTTGATTCACAGGTATAGGAATCATGACGCAATTTTCCCAAATATGTACGACTGAGGGAATTGAAGGGTCGTCTATCTTTGGGGGTGAGATCTGAGGTTGAAATCTTGTTTTCAGGGGTTGGCGGCTTTCCAACCAGCTGCCTTTCGTCAGGAACCAGTCTCTAGGAAATTTAAAATTATAGAACTATTAAAACCTAGATGATTAGATGGGTGTTTCGTTTTTACATAAATAGTATATGCGTGAATCGCCTCCGAAAAGGATGAAGAGCTATAGTGTGTGAATAGGCACCAGTGATTTTAAATCTGATCGGG